ATATTCAGGTGAGCGATACAGGCCCTCTTGGGCCTCTTGTATATATATATGTACATCTACATTTGTAGAGGACCTTTCGGAAGATACGTACGATCCTAAAAAGTGATCTCTTAAAATATTAGTAGTATTATTGTTATAATTATTTTTATACTTTAGCACTGATAATTCATTTTTGACAAGAAAACCCATATCTTATGGATTTTTTTATAAATAAATAAATAAATGAAGATAACAAAAATATTGTCAATAACAATGACAGATTTCTGAGTGTAAAAATACAATGGAGCCTGACCAACATTCAAACCCTTAACCCCAAATATAATACTGTCATTCTAGCCAGCTGAGCTACATGTTTATACCTTCATCCAGTTGTGCTTCAGTTACTTGTAAAAAATATCCAAAATGTAATAAAAGGGTAGTTACTGTATGTATATGTATGACAGCTGAAATCTTGAGTGTTATGCCTGTATTGGGACAGTGCTCCGTATATCAATCAAAATTCACAGGCATCACCGATATCTACACAGGGGATCAGACACCAGTTATGTTATATGTGGGTCAGTTCAGACTAAATAACATTAAACAAAAGATAGTCCTGCCAACATTTAAACAACATATTTTATAGGTTTTTGTTAATGGTTCTGGCTGCGTACTATGTCGAGCAAGTATACAAATTCTAAATTGAAACATTTGATTATGTGATTTCAGGGTGCGGCAGCAGGTCTTTTTTTCGTTGGAGGATGGGTGTTTGAGACGTATAAGCACTTTAATGAACTGACATCGGCCAACCTGACCCTTATCCCAGCTTCCATTGTGTTGACAGTGGGGATATTCATGTTCATTGTTGGACTACTGGCTTGTGCCTCATCTGTGAAAGAGAACAAATGTCTTCTTGCTGTTGTAAGTCGTCGCTAAAAATGATTCTGTCTAATTATAAAGGAATTGAAAAAATATCAAGATGAGTAATTGCTGAGTTAATCCCATTATAGATATGTGTGTTTTTTTTGTACATTTCAGCTGGTTTCAATATTAATGAAAATGACTTTCTTGTTGAATTACTTTGTCTTTATTATTTTTCTCTGATCCTGCAAAAAAATTCAGTATAATGATGCAAAGGAAAATAGTCTGATAATAGACTTCAGAAGAGTCGCTCATCTTTTCAAAAAAATAACTTTCTAACCAATTTAACAAAACGTTGTTAAAATTGACATATAAACCAGATATGTGTCCTATGCTTTTGCTACATTTACATAGATTCATCCAGAGATAAAAGGGTTGTTGAAAATGATATTAAAAATTAGTATAAGAATAAAAACTGAGAATCATTGAAATTATTTGATTTCGTTGCAGTTGTTTTCTATTCTCTTGGTGATCCTCACAGCAGAAATAGCTGCAGGTTCCTTGGGCTATGCTTTCAGAGATGACGTAAGTTTGACTATAAATCACTGCCCCTTTCTCAAATACAATGTTATGAATATGCTTCAAACAACTTCATTTACAAGACTGTGCATTTGCAAAGTAAACAAGAAAGAGGAATTTTCCTTAATCAAAGATGTCTTATTAAATATTGCAAAGATAATTGACTTGTTGGTGGATTCTGTTAGCTGATTATTGTAGTGTGTACAACCTGTATAGAAAGCTACATTTGTTGACAGATGGAGGGATCGGTTCGTGATGGTCTGAACCAGGCCATTAATAAGTTCAATGGAACTTCAAGTGATCATCAGATGGAGTACCTCCAGGAAGAGGTATGCTGGGTATACGTATTACCCAATTTTAATGCATTGAATACCATAATCTTAAATGACATAGAATGTGGGTGTGTTCAATCAAAGGTCAATGTCACTGCTACTAAAAATAGATTTCACTGTCACACTTACATTACTCATACTGCCTGTTTTAATTTCTTGACGAATTTTTGATGAATTTTCACTGGTAAGTTGCTGTGTATATATCCATCTTGAACAAGTTTGAGTATGGACCATATTGGTGAAAGGTGAAGTCATTATATAGTTAAATCATCTCACTCAATATCAGAAATATGTCGACCTTTGACTTACCAATTTTGCAGTCACGCTCTTTGCCAACATTGTAGCGACGATATTTGTAAAGAATTTTGAATATGTTAAAGGTCTAAGATATGTTTTCCTTCTGCATACCCTAGACAAGTTCAACTTTGGTCTGGATCAGTCAACGATCAAGACAGAGGCCAAAAGGACATTGTTACTAAAATAATTTCACTCTTGGGGGGCAGGGGGGGAGGGGGTGTGGTATTGTGAGTGATGCTATCTTTCTGGAGTTTATAATATTGAGAAATAGAAATGGCCAATGGTATTTGAAAGTAAAAGTAAAGAAAACCCATTATTTCTGTATGTATAAACACATGTCCAAGACAGTGTCAGATAATGGCTGAGTGTTGATTTGTTTAGCTGAAGTGCTGTGGTGTAAACAATGCCTCGGACTGGGAGACCGCCAAGGTGTGGTCCCTCTCTCACCCCGGCAAGGTGCCTGTCAGCTGCTGTATAGATCAGAACAACTGTACCCAGAGCATCAACGGAACTGACATTTACAAGAAGGTAATTATTATAATAAAATACTTGGAACATTAACATTACCGACACATTCCAAAGATCGTCGTTGTTGTAAGATCCTTTTGATGCTATTTCAATGGTGCTGTCTATCGGGAAACAGCTACAAATAGCACGGACAAGACTACACAAACTGTCTGACTGCAAGAAACA